CATTTGAGATTCATATATATTGTTGTGTGTATCAATAAATTTTTTTATTGCTGAGTTGTATTCCATTTTATGATGGTACCATGGTTTGCTTATCCAGTTCCCAATTAAGGGGCATGTGGGTTGTTTCCTGTTTTAAACAATGGCAAATAAAGCCACTATAAATGTTTTTGTACAGATTTTATGTGAACATAAATTTTTATTTCCATTCAATAATTACAAAAGTAGTAGGATTAGTTGGTCATATGGGAAGTGTATGTTTAACTTAATGAGAAGCCTCCAAACTGTTTTCCAAAGTAGTTGTATCATTTTGCATATCTATCAGTGGTGTGTGAGAGCTCCAGCCACTCTGCGTCCTTGCCATTACATGGTATTGTCAGTATTTTTGACTTTACCTCCTCTAAAATATCTCATTGTTATTTTAATTTGCATTTCCCTAATAAATGATGACATTGATCATCTTTCATGTGTTTCTTGGGAGAAGTATCTGTTTGGAATTTTTACCCATTAAAAAATTGGATTATTTGTCTTCTTATTATTGACTTCTGAGATTTTAAAAATATACCCTGAGTACAAGTCCTTTGTCTAATATGTGATTTTCACATATTTTCTCCCAGTCTGTAGCTTCTCTTTAATTTTCTCAGCAGTGTATTTTGAAGAGCACTTTTTGACTTTGATAAAATCCAGTTATCAGCTTCTTTTATGGATTATACTTTTGATATTGTATCTAAGAAATATTTGCCTAACTCAAGATCACAAAGATTTTATTCTATTTTTCTTTTAAAAAAATTTACAGTTTTAAGTTTTACACTTAGTTCTGTGATTCACTTTGAGTTAATGTTTATTTATGGTAAAGAATGGATTTTTGTTTTGTTGTTGTTTTCAGTCACTGAGTTGTGTCTGACTCTGCAACCCCATGGACTACAACTCACCAGGTTCCTCTGTCCTCCACTGTGTCCCAGAGGTTGCTCAAATTTGTGTCCATGGAGTTTGTGATGTTATCTAACCATCTTGTTCTCTGCATCCTGCTTCTCCTTTGGTCTTCAATCTTTCAATGGGATCTTTTCGAGTGAGTCAGCTTTTCACATCAGGTGGCCAAAGTATTGGAGCTTCAGCATCCAATCCTTCCAATGAATATTCAGGATTGATTTCCTTTAGGATTGACTGGTTTGGTCTCTTTGCAGTCCAGGGGACTTTCAAGAGTATTCTCCAACACTCCAGTTCAAAAGCATAAATTCAGCACTCAGCCTTCTTTATGGTCCAACTCTCATATCCGTACATGACTACTGGAAAAACCATAGCTTTGACTATACAGCCTTTTGATGGCAAAGTGATGTCTCTGCTTTTTAATATTCTGTCTAGGTTTGTCAAAGCTTTCCTTCCAAGGAGCAAGCATCTTTTAATTTCATGGCTGCAATCACCATGCACAGTGATTTTGTAGTCCAAACAAATAGAATCTGTCATGGTTTCCCCTTTTTCCCCCTCTCTTTGTCGTGAAGTGATAGGACTGTGTTCCATGATCTGAGTTTTTTGAATATTGAATTTCAAGTCAGCTTTCTCACTCTTCTCTTTCACACTCTCAAGGGGCTCATTAGTTCCTCTCTAGTTTCTGCCTTTAAGCAGACTTTTACATATTGACACCCTGTTATTCTGGCACCATTTATTAAAAAGACTGACCTTTTTTCCCCCATAAAGTTACTTTTACACCTTTGTCAGAAATCAGCTGGCAATATATACTCAGTTCTGTTATCAGTTCAGTCGCTCAGTTGTGTCTGACTCTTTGCAACCTCATGGACTGCAGTGCACCAGGCTTCCCTGTCCATCACCAACTCCCAGAGCTTACTCAAACTCATGTCCATCAAGTCGGTGATGACTTCCAACCATCTCATCCTCTATCATCCCCTTCTCTTCCTGCCTTCAAACTTTCCCAGCATCAGGGTCTTTTCCAGTGAGTGAGTTCTTTGCATCAGGTGGCCAAATTATTGGAGTTTCAGCTTCAGCATCAGTCGTTCCAATGACTGTTCAGGGTTGCTTTCTTTAGGATTGACTGGTTGAATCTCCTTGCAGTTCAAGGGACTCTCAAGAGTCTTCTCCAACACCACTCTTCAAAAGCGTCAATCTTTTGGTGCTTAGCTTTTTTTTTTTTTTTTTTTTGGTCTTGTTTATCTCACAAGACCTACAAAAATTATGGGAGAAGTGTTCTATAGCCCTCCGCAGGTGCGGGGGGCGGGAGAGAATGACCCTAGCTCTGGTGCTTAGCTTTTTTATGGTCCAACTCTCACATGCATATATGACCCGTGAAAAAACCATAGCTTTGACTAGGTGAACCTTTGTCAGCAAAGTACTATCTCTGCTTTTTAATATGGTATCTAGAGTTGTCATAGCTTTTCTTCCAAACAGCAAGCATCTTTTAATTTCATGGGTGCAGTCACCATCTACAGTGATTTTGGCTTCAACAGTATGTGAACTGAAAGCTTCCAGGTGTTCAAGCTTGATTTAGAAATGACAGGAACCAGAGATCAAATTGCCAACATCTGCTGGATCATAGAAAAAGCAAGAGAATTCCAGGAAAACATCTACTTCTGCTTCATTGACTATGCTAAAGCCTTATTGTGTGGATCACAACAAACCGTGGAAAATTCTTAAAGAGATGGGAATACCAAATCACCTGACCTGCCTCCTGAGAAAAGTGTATTCAGGTCAAGAAGCAGCATTTAGAACCAGACATGGAACAATGGACTGGTTCCAAATTGGGAAAGGAGTACATCAAGGCTGTATATTGTCACCCTGCTTATTTATCTTATATGCAGAGTATATCATGCATAATGTCTGACTGGATGAATCACAAGCTGGAATCAAGATTGCAGGGAGAAATATCAATAACCTCAGATTTGCAGATGATACCACCCTTTATGGCAGAGAGCGAGGAGGAACTATTGAGGTGAAAGAGGAGAGTGAAAAACCTGGATTAAAACTCAGCATTCAAAAAATGAAGAACATGGCACCTTGTCCTGTCACTTCATGGAAGATAGATGGGGAAACAATGGAAACAGTGACAGACTTTATTTTCTCAGTCGCCAAAATCACTGCAGATGGTGACTGCAGCCATGAAATTAAAAGACACCGGCTCCTTGGAAGAAAAGCTATGACAAATCTAGACACCATATTTAGAAACAGAGACATTTCTTTGCCGACCAAGGTCTATATGGTCAAAGCTCTGGTTTTTCCAGGAGTCATGTATGGATGGGAGAGCTGGACCATAAGGAAGGTTGAGGGCCAGAAAAGTCATGCTTTTGAACTGTGGTGTTGGAGAAGACTCCTGAGAGCCCTTGGACTACAAGGAAATCAAACCAGTCAATCCTAATGTAAATCAACCCTGAATATTCATTGCAAAGACTGATGCTGAAGCTGAAGCTCCAATACTTGGCCACCTGATGAGAAGAGCTGACTCATTAACAAAGAGCCTTATGCTAAGAAAGATTGAAGACAGGAGAAGGGGACCACACAGGATGTGATGGTTGGATGGCATCACCAACTTGATGGACATGAGTTTGAGCAAGCTTCAGGAAATGGTGAAGGACAGGGAAGCCTGGAGTGCTGTAGTCAATGGGGTCCTCAGAGTCGGACACGACTGAGTGACTGAACAACAATAAATATGGTATATTACCTTGTAAAAAATCTTGACATTTGCTTGTAGAATGGGCATCAGAAAGATTGCAGATTGTACATTGTTGTGAAAAGGTGGAAGGTAAATTATCTGGAATTGGGAGTTCTAATGCTGTAGGTGAACAGGAGTAGCTCATAACACATGTGATATGCCGATGTTCATGTATGTATTTCTGCTTGGCTCAGTTTAACTAGGTACAGTTTTCTAGTGTTTCACCCAGTGTTTCTTGTGGATAAAATTGCACGTAAACCAACCTGAAAAATTAAATTCATGTTATAATCACCAAGCAAATTCTAGTAGTAAATATTAGTTTTGTCAGAAAATAGTACAGCAAAGGACCTTTGTGGAGTGGTGTAAATCTCTGAAATGTAACAGTAAAGTATAAATTATGTTGCAACAGATTTGCACTTTTAAGACAAGCATCATAGCAGAACTAACTATGTATGTCAGTTCTCCAGTATAACACTGTCTTGATTACTATAGTTTTATAATAAATATTGAAGTCAGGTAGTATGATTCCTTGAATTTACTTTTTCACATTTTTCGGCTATTCTGTTTCCTTTGTCTTTTTATATAAATTTTAAATTCAGCTTGTTGATTTTTACAAAAAAAATCTTGCTGAGATTTTTATTAATATTTCATTGACTTTGATCAGTTTTGGGAGAGTCGACATCTTTAACAACATTGACTCTTCCAAACTGTAACCAATATCTCTCTCCATTTACTTAGATCTACTCTGATTCCTTTCATTGGTGTTTATAGTTTTTATCATGCTGATCTTGTGTATACATATTTTGTATATTTTTATCTATGGGATTTAATGTGAGTTTTTGGTGGTATTACAAATAGGACTTTTAAAATTTCACCGTTCCATTTTTTACTGTAAGTATATGGAAATAAGATTGATTTTTATGTACCTTTAGCTCTTTGAAGACCAGAAGCAAAAATGGAAGTTCTCCAATGTCAAAGCAAAATTTGCTTTTCTAATATTTGCAAGTTAGAATCTCTTTTTTGTCTTAGTCTATTTTAAAAATCAAATCACTATAACAGTGTTAACTTAATTGTTTTCTTTTCAAAGTTGTTGAATCATATTCTAATATAGACATGAAAACATGTATTTTTAGGATGAGGTTTAATTGCACAATTTTAAACGTTCTGATAGAGTATTGTAAAATACAAGCTTTTCTCCATGCTTTCCGTTAACTGGTCTCACAAGAGCTTTCTTAATGGTAATCACAGGCCATCTGTGAATACATTTAATTCATAGTTTTGTTTCTTTTGGTATTTTCTAGTTTCTGAAAATCTTCAGATTTATTTTTGTGCAATATTGTTATAGATTTTGGACTCAGCAAGGAATCAGTAGATCAAGAGAAGAAGGCCTACTCATTTTGTGGTACAGTGGAGTATATGGCTCCTGAAGTAGTAAATAGGAGAGGTCATTCCCAAAGTGCTGATTGGTGGTCATATGGTGTACTTATGGTAAGTAGTATTTTTGAAATTATGTCAATATAAATTAAATATTGTTTAGAATTTTAATCTGAGTGTTGGAATGTGTTTGCTAAGAATAGGGTTTTAAAAGTTCGTGATTGTTTTTAAAGAATTTGTGATTGGCTAGCTGTCATATAATAAGAATTAGGGTTTTGGTGTTCTGATTTATTTTAAAGTTGCTTGATTAAAAGGCAAACGGCAGCATTCTTTTTTTTATATATAAGTTATTCAAATTTAAAAATTAGGAAAAATCCTGTTAGATTTTAGATTTCAGAATACTGTGTTTAGTAGTATATAATATTTTAATTAGGTATCATAGAATTTAGCACCTGTTTACTATCTTATTGTCACATTATTTTAAGCATGTCTGTAGAAAGACTATAAACCTCTTAAGGAAAGCAATCCTTTCTTCTTGTTCTACTTTTCCACAATATCTAGTATATTGAGAATCTAGACTGACTAATTTGGTATAAGATTAATCGTAGAGTTTGTAGTGTTAAGTAGGGCAATAAATGAATAGCTATTGAATGAGATACAGTTTGCTGTAGAAACTTGATAATCCATTTTTACCTATTTATCACTGAACTACTATACGATTTATCAGTATATTAAGTGGCTATTATAAGCCTGACATTTGGTAAGGGCAATGGATTGGGAACAGTCTGGAAGTACAATATTTGACATTTTCCTTGGCCTAAGAAGACATGCCATCTGGTTGGGGAAACAAATGTAATAGCTAAGTAAATTGTCTGGAAGTACTTTAGGAGTTCAAACAAGAATTCATTCAAGTTGATATAGGGAAAGCAGAGGAGACAGAACTTAAATTAAGCCCTGAAGGATGGATAAAATTCAGATAACTGTGTCTCAAGGATAATATTGTGATAATATTAGGAAAGACCTGGAGAACCAGTTTAACTAGAGCAGTAGTAGAGAATGAGGGTGAAGGTGGAGGAAATGAAGCTATAAGCCTATAAGCATTTGTATGCTATTTTCTGAGTGGTAAACTTTTGTGAAGTCTTAAGCAGGATGGTAGTTAGAGGAAAAATGTATTTTAAGATTAGCCTTGGTAGCATTATGTATATGGATTGCAAATGGAGGAAACTAAAAGTAGGAAGACCAAGAAGTTCTCCTTGCAAGACAGTTGTAAGATTACAAAATAAAAAAGGAAATCTTCAAGACATTTCAAAGGTAGACATAACTGACCTTAGTAGCAGATTAAATGTCACAGATAAAGCAGAGGGAAAGGGTTAAAGACAAAGATACCTTTAAAACTTTAGGGGATTGAAAGAGTTCAGTAGAAAAGATAGTTGGGAAGGATAGCTGATATTGAAGATGAGGAAAGAACTTATTTTTAACATGTTGCATAGGTTACTCTGGGTTCATATTTAACCCCTTGATAGGAATGAATTAGGAGAGGGCAGTGGAGAGAGCATCAGAATCATCTGAAGACCTTAAATGAACAAAGAAGAAAGAAACACAAACAATAACAACTACTCTGCCAGCCAGTATATAGTTTTTTTGAGGGGAAAGTGTGATTCCAATATATTGTCCTTCTCTTTTCCTTTTTGTTCTTTCTGTTTCCACCTCTTAATCCTCCAGTCCCTGGGACAGAACCATTACTTTAGGTTTGGAGGCAGGGGGCTGGAACTTGAGAGAGATGATTCCCATACACCATATTCCCTTCTTCATTCCCTTTCTATGACTCCTACCCCTATCACGTCAGTCTTCAGTTGAGAAACATTACTGTAAATTTGGAAGGGAAAGCTGGGGATTGAAGGAGATTGAAACTGGAACCAATTTGTGAGTCATCAGTCATCAAGAGAGAGTTGAATGAATAAGCTAACTCAAGTTTTAAGTTCAGTGTCAACAGAGGACTGAGGCCAAACCCATTATTGAATCTCAGCTTCAAATTTAAATATTAGGGATATAAAAACTTTTCTCTTTAATGAGCTTCATTTTCAGATCTTTCTTTTTCCAATAGAATTACTTTTTAAAATACCATTCTTTAATGTTCTAGTTATCTGCATTGCAGTTAACTCTCTTTAGGGAAAATATTTTCATTATGCCATGTACAAATTGAAATGGCTCAGTGCTTATTTTTACTTTTCTTTCATTATTAAATGTTTTCTTTAAAAGCTTATCTATGTTTTAAAAGATAATGCCTCTTGTCTGGGGCTTCCCAGATGGCTCAGTGGTAAAGAATCCACCTGCCAATGCAGGAACTGCAGGAGACAAGGGTTTGATCCCTGGGTCAGGAAGATCCCCTGGAGGGGAAATGGCAACCCACTCCAGTATTCTTGCCTAGAGAATCGTATGGACAGAGAAGCATGGCGGGTTACAGTCCATGGGCTCACGAAAAGTTGAACATGACTGAGCATGCACACCTTGTGTCTATTTCCACATTGCTTTGGTTTGGGAAATTTAGCCAAATTAGGACTGAAGTAATGGTTGGTTTCATTTGCCATGTGTCATCTCTCTTTTAGGCTATGTATTGTGGGGTATCAGAGGTGTATTTCCTTAAGTGACCTAGTTTTCTAGTCCTTTTTGATTGCTATCATATAGATCCTGCATGATTTGATGATCACATTTTACAAATCTCAGTTTTTTTCCTAAAGAATTTCTTTGTATATTCCAAGTTGTGCTAAACTTGTATTATTTTGTGTTTATGTGTTTTAGTTTGAAATGCTTACTGGTACTCTGCCATTTCAAGGTAAAGACAGAAATGAGACCATGAATATGATATTAAAGTAAGTGAAAACATTTTTTTTTCCTTTGGGGAAAAATTCCTTGCTTTCAGTTTTGACAAACTTGTTATAGTTTTCATTTGACACAAAAGAACATTTTCACACTGTCTCATTCCCTTTCACCTTACAGGGGATATTCTTTGCCATTGTGAAAGTGGTCATTAATTTTTTTAAAAATTTTTCAGTTTAGAAGTATAACTAGATTTAAATGAAATTTTCTGAAATCTTCTTTTCCAGAGCAAAACTTGGAATGCCTCAGTTTCTTAGTGCTGAAGCACAAAGTCTTCTAAGGATGCTATTCAAAAGGAATCCAGCAAATAGATTGGGTATTGTTTATTTTCTTAGTTTTTATAACAAAATACTGGGAGGTATAATTATATTGGGAAGATAATTATAATTTTATGTTTTCTGGCTTAACTTCATTTACTGCTGCAATATATTTATACCTAGATTTTTACATTTTATGTATGCAAAGATTCCAGTAATCTGTTATATTTGTGATTAAAAAATGAAGTAGTCTAGTTATGCAAAACATATTTAATATATATCATATAATTATGTGTATCGTATCATTGTCTCTTTTGACATAATTCACAACTTCTCCCTTGTATAGAAAAATCCTTTTTTATATTTGAAGATAATTATTTTGTTCCTTCTGTTTTTCATGAAGATAAATATCATGTTTCCGTAACTACTCATTATTTGGCTACTTTCTTGTAGTCTTTCCCTGTATCCAAATGTGATTCTATTATCCTGTTTATGCCCATGTGTTGAAATTTCAAAGTCACTTTATTCATTGCATTTTTAATTTGATATATAAATAGGAGGTCATAAGTTGAATTATGAAGAAAATAAAACTACTTAAATATGTTTTAATATTTTTAACTACTTAAAGTTTAACATGTTAAACATGATTTTTATTTGATTCAGAAGGCATTTAAGTATTTCATGATACCCTATGTGCTTCAGCATGAACACCAGCTATTTTTTATCATATTAAATTCAAAGGACCAATTAATAAAACATCAGATAAGAAATCATAAACTTTTCACTGCAAGAAATCTATAAATTATGTGTACTCCTGTTTTACAGATAACAATCTGGAGGCCAAGTAACCAGATTTTAAAAAATCAGACTGGTAAAAGAATTCTTTCTATTTTTGTAGGTTCAGAAGGAGTTGATGAAATCAAAAGACATCTTTTTTTTGCAAATATTGACTGGAATGTAAGTAGAGTAGAAAGTGTATTACTGAATACCTTTAAGAAGAGCAAAAACTCAAGAGTAAATGGTAATATGTGGACTTTGCTGATAAACTTAATCCATTTGTTTCATATTTTGTGTGAGATTTTTATTTACAAGTATAGCTTATCATACAGTTACCTTGAACCAGCAGATGCATGTATGACATATAGTAAATTTTTGTTTTTCATTTGTCTTACCTGTTAAATATGGTTAATATTCTCTTCTATTCTAGGTTGAAGAATATGGGGGAGGGAGAAAAAGGAGAAAGGGGATGAATGAAAGGGCAGATTCTTATAGAAAAAAATGAATTGTAAAGAATCTAAGATATTATTTAAAAAATAATTTAAGATGTTATTTAATTTCAAATGATCCTTTGTCATGTATTAGAACAATTTAAATTTGCTAAGAAGTAAAAATCTTTGTATAGTTATTTCACTAAATTTTGAGAGGGCATGGAAACAAAAACAGTGAAATTCTGCCAAGTCATTTATTGAATTTTTTAAGTTGCAACTCCCGGACTAGTGAGCTTTTCACTTTTTCTTATTGTCGTTTCCAACACAGCTTTATGTATTTTAGGTACTATTAATCATCATAGGTAAGCATTTTTGATAACTTGCTTCTGACATTGATAGTGAAAATTATCCCCAAAGAAAACATGTCTCTTTTGATTTCTAAGGCAGATGCAGAGAGCCACTATTCACTGACCAAATTATCATTTCATCTGGCTTGTAAAACAAGTTTCAATAGCCCGATATTTTTATTTATTTTAATAGTTTTAAAACTGCAACATAACATACGCTGTTAGCATTAATAACCTGAAAGGCCTTGTAATGAACATGGGAATTGCATTACATTTGTCTTACCTGTGTGCATTCCTCTTTCAGTATTCTTGCATTCCCTTGTCATTTTTTTCTAATGCTTCTCTACTCTTCCTTTTTCCTTAACTAGAAAAGCTAGAAATTAATTTCCATTATTTTTATATCTAAAGTTTGTTTATTGCTCTTAAATAACAAGAGAGCAGAATGTTTATGTATTTGAATAAATGAAAATTACTTTTCTATAAAGTGAAAGTAGGTTTATTGAGAGAGAGAAACATTCCATAGGCAGAATGCAGTCTGTCTTAGAAGGCAAGAACAACCTTTTTTTTTTTTTTTAAGGTTCTGCATATGAGTGAGATCTGCAGTATTTGTCTTACTCTGTCTGACTCATTTCTTCTTAATTCATCCTTCTGTTGATGGACACAGGTTATTTCCATGTCTTGGGTATTGTGAATAATATTGCAATAAACATGGTGGTACAGATGTCTTTTGAGATAGTGACATTGTCTTTTGAAAAACAGATATTGTTATTTATTTTTTGTATCTTTTTAAATTAATTTTTACTTGAGTATAGTTGTTTTACAATGTTGTGTTTCTGCTGTACAGCGAAGTGAATCAGCTATGCATCCCCTCATTTTTGGATTTCCTTCCCATATAGGTCACCACAGAGCATTAGGTAGAGTTCCCTGTGCTTTACAGAAGGTCCTCATTAGTTATCTATTTATACATAATAGTGTATACCTGTCAATCTCAAATCTCAAGGTTCATTATACCTTTCCCCTTACCCCGTTGGTATCCATACATTTGTTCTCTGTGTCTGTCTTTATTTCTGCTTTGCAGATAAGTTCACCTATACCATTTTTCTAGATTCCACATATAAGAGATACTAAAGGATATTTGTCTTTCTCTTTCTGACTTAACTTCACTGTGTTTGAAAGTCTCTAGGTCTATTCACATCTCTGCAAAAGATAATTTCATTCTATTTTATGACTGAGTAATATTCCATTATTATATATGTAGCATATATTCTTTATCCATTCCTATGCTGATGGACATTTAGGTTGCTTCTGTGTCCTGGCTATTGTAAATAGTGCTGTGGTGAACATTGGGGTACATGTATCTTTTTTAATTATGTTTTTTTCTGCATATATACCCAGTAGTGAGATTTCTGGAGAAGGCAAAGGCAACCCACTCCAGTACTCTTGCCTGGAAAATCCCATGGATGGAGGAGCCTGGTAGGCTACAGTCCATGTGGTCACGAAGAGTCAGACACGACTGAGCGACTTCACTTTCACTTCCATGCGTTGGAGTAGGAAATGGCAATCCATTCCAGTGTTCTTGCCTGGAGAATCCCAGGGAGGGGGAAGCCTGGTGCGCTGCTGTCTATGGAGTCACACAGAGTCGGATACGACTGACGTGACTTAGCAGCAGCAGCAGTGAGATTTCTGGGTCATATGGCAGTTCTATTTTTAGTTTTTCAAGGTACCTCCATTCTGTTATCCATAGTGGCTCTATGAGTTTATATTCCCACCAATAATGTAGGAGGTTTCCCTTTGCTCCATATCCCTCCAGCATTTATTGTTTGTAGATTTCTTTTGATAAAGGCCATGATGGCCATTCTCACTGGTGTGAGGTGGTAGTTCATTGTATTTTTAATTTGCATTTCTCTAATAATTAGTGATTTTGATCATCTTTTCATGTGCCTCATTGGCCATCTGTATGTCTTCTTTTAAGAAATGTCTACTTAGATCTTCCACTCATTTTTTGATTGGATTTTTTTATATTGATCTGCGTGAAGTACTTGTATATTTTAGAGATTAATTCCTTGTCAGTTGTTTCACTTGCAAATATTTAATCCCATTCTGAGGGTTGTCTTTTCATCTTGTTTATGATTTCCTTTGCTGTGTAGAAACTTTTAAGTTTAATTAGGTCCAATTTGTTCATTTTTTTTCATTACTCTAGGAGGCGGGGCAAAAAAATTTTGCTGCAGTTTATGTCAAAGGGTGGTTTTCCTACATTTTCTTCTAACAGTTTTATAGGATCCAGCCTTTCATTTTGGTCTTTAATACATTTTGAGTTTTGTTTTGTTTTTTTTCCGTTTAAATAATTTTAGTTATTTTTGGCTGTGCTAGGTCTTTGCTGCACGGGCTTTTCTCTAGTTGTGGGGAGCAGTGACCACTCTTTAGTTGTGGTGCTTGGGCTTCTCACTGCAGTGGTTTCTGTTTTTGTGGAACATGGGCTCTAAGTGCATGGGCTTCAGTCATTGTGGCTCCCCAGATCTAGAGCACAGGCTCAGTAGTTGTGGCACAGGGATTTTGTAGCTTTAGAGAATGTGGGATCTTCCCAGAGCAGGGTTCCAACCTATTTCTCCTGCATTGGCAGGCAAATTCTTTACCACTGAGCTCTGAGAGAACCCCGAGTTTATTTTTTTGTATGGTGTTAGGCAGTGTTCTAATTTCATTTGTTTACATGTAACTGTCCAGTTATCCCCACACCATGATTTTTGCTGTTGTTGTTTTTTGTTTGATTTTTAGATTTGAAAATTGGGAGGGGAGTTTGGGGGAGAATGGATACATGTATATGTATGGCTGAGTCCCTTTGCTGTCCACCTGATACTGTCACAAGGGTGATAATCAGCTATGCTCCAGTAAAAAAAAAAAGTTTAAGTAAAATGTAAAAGGGAGAATCCTATCTTCACACCACTTATTGGAAAGACTGCCTTTTCTCCTCTGTCTTCTTTGTCACAGATTAGGTGACCATATGTACATGCATTTATTTCTGTTCTTTCTATCCTATTCCTTTCATGTATATTTCCAATTTTGTGCCATTATCATACTGTCTTGAACTGTAGCTTCGTAGTGTAGTTTCAAGTCAGGAAGCCTGATTCTTCCAACTTTAGTTTTCTTTCTCAAGATTGCTTTGGCTATTTGGAGTCTTTTTGTTTCCATCAGTCAGTTCCCTCACTCATTCATGTCCAACTCCTTCTGACCCCATGGACTTCAGCATGCCAGGCTTACCTGTCCATCACCAACTCCCGAAGCTTGCTCAAATTCATGTCTGTCAAGTCGGTGATGCCATCCAACCATCTCATCCTCTGTTGTCCCCTTCTCCTCCTACCTTAAATCTTTCCAAGCATCAGGGTCTTTTCCAATGAGTCAGTTCTTCACATCAGGTGGTGAAAGTATTGGAGTTTCAGCTTCAGCATCAGTCCTTCCAATGAATATTCAGGACTGATATCCTTTAGAATGGACTGGTTTGATCTCCTTGCAGTCCAAGGGATTCCAAGAGACTTCTTCAACACCACAGTTCAAAAGAATCAATTCTTTGGCACTCAGCTTTCTTTCTTTTTTTTTTTTTTCTTCATTTATTTTTATTATTTGGAGGCTAATTACCTTACAATATTGTAGTGATTTTTGCCATACGTTGACATGAATCAGCCAGGGATTTACATGTTTCCCCATGCTGATCCCCCCTCCCACCTCCTTCCCCATCCCATCCCTCTGGGTCTTCCCAGTGCACCAGCCCTGAGCATTTGTCTCATGGGTCCAGCCTGGGCTGGCGATCTGTTTCACACTTGATAATATACATGTTTCAATGCTCCAACTATCACATCCATACATGACTACTGGAAAAACCGTAGCTTTGACTAGATGGACCTTTGTCTGCAAAGTGATGTCCCTGCTTTTTAATATACTGTCTAGGTTGGTCATATCTTTTCTTCCAAGGAGCAAGTGTCTTTTAATTTCATGGCCACAGCCACCAACTGCAGTGATTTTGGAGCCCCAAAAATATAAAGTCTGTCACTGTTTCAACTTTTTCACTCTCTTCTTTCACTTTCATCAAGAGGCTCTTTAGTTCTACTTTGTTTTCTGTCAAAAGGGTGGTGTCATCTGTGCATCTCAGGTTACTGATACTTCTCCTAGCAATCTTGATTCCAGCATGTGCTTCATCAGCCCAGCATTTCGCATGATACACTCTTCATATAAGTTAAATAAGCAGGGTAACAATATACAGCCTCGATGTATTCCTATCCTGATTTGGAACCAGTTGGTTGTTCCATGTCTAGTTCTAACTGTTGCTTCCTAACCTGCATACAGATTTCTCAGGAGGCAGGTCAGGTGGTCTGGTATTCCCATCTCTTTCAGAATTTTCCACATTTTATTGTGATCCACAGAGTCAAAGGTTTTGGTATAGTCAATAAAGCAGAAGTATATGTTTTTCTGTAATTCTCTTGCTTTTTTGATGATCCAACTGATGTTGGCAATTTGATCTCTGGTTCCTCTGCCTTTTCTACATCCAGCTTGAACATCTGGAAGTTAATGGTTCATGTACTGTTGAAGCCTCTTTTGGAGAATTTTGAGCATTACTTTGCTAGTGTGTGAGATCAGTGCAATTTTGTGGTAGTTTGAACATTCTTTGGCATTACCTTTCTTTGGGATTGGAACAAAAACTGGCCTTTTCCAGTCCTGTGGCACTGCTGAGATTTCCATATTTGCCATCATATTTAGGGCAGCACTTTCACAGCATCATCTTTTAGGATTTGAAATAGCTCAACTGGAATCCCATCACCTCCACTAGCTTTGTTCGTAGTTATGCTTCCTAAGACCCACTTGATTCCAGGATGTCTTGCCCTAGGTAAGTGATCACACCATCATTGTTATCTGAGTCATGAAGATCTTTTTTGTATAGTTCTTCNAAAGTACTATGTTGCTTTTTATTAAGTTTCAATTATAGGAAATTTTTAAATATTAAAATAATGTGAGGCAAGCATCACTCTTGAGTTATTATTTGCTTGAAAATACAACCAAATTGAAATCATGTCATTCATTTTTAGATAAAGAAAATAATTTTCCTCTGTGATCTTTCTTGTTTTTTAGATCATTGACAAAATTAAGAGAGATCTTTCAGAAGAAATTGAAATTTTAATGCACTATGGACAACACCCCAACATTATCACTTTAAAGGATGTAGGTATTTAAAAATCTATGTATCTGCTAAGCTAATGAAGTTATGACTTGGCACTTTGTTTTCCTATTGAACTTTCCATATCCATGGTATCTTTACTTTCATGCCATAAATTATTAAGACTCAAATTTGCCGCTTCAGTTCTTTCATCCCTGTGATTCTGCACTCTTACCCTCCTTGTAGAATATCAGAAAGGAACTATGATGGTTGGCAAATGAGAGTGTCCTGATTTCTTAAATATATTCTAGCTGGTTAACTAGTTGATGACATCACCGGCAACATTTATTATTCTCTAGTACTTCAAATATACAAGATAGAAGAGATTCGGAATCTGCCAAATTCTAGGAGATTTTATTTCCTTGACTGTACAGCAGTTGGCTGTAGCACTGTGGATTGTTGCTTGGGTGAAATATTATTCTGTAGATTTTCTAAAGTGAACTAATATTAATAGATGTTATTGAATGCTGACAAACCATCTCCTTGTCAGTTTGTTTCAGATAATATGATATACATTTTGATTTGTAATCCTTAAATAGTACTTTATACATATATAAATATATGTTATGTGTGTATATAGATAGATATATGTCTACATGTATGTGTTTATATGTGTAAATGTAGATATCACGTGCCTTGAGTAAAACAGTATACATATTTATTTTTTCTCCTTGATACAACATTTGAATTCAACAAATATTTAAGTTGCTAGGTCAGATAGTAGAATGTGAGGAGGATATTAAAAAACAACATATTTACTGCCAGAAGGAAGCTTGCTATTATTAAGGAAGGAAAGTGGCTATAATACAGTCAGAAATGTCATAGGTGCTATTTGAGAGTCACAGAGTTCTGTTTTTCCGCTTATACACCTTGATGAAGTATAACAGATATCTTCAAAAGTTAATAAAATTATATGTTTCACATGGTCTCACAGAATGGTGTTGAGTCTGTTTAGCCAGTTTAATTTTCAGTAGTCTGTACTATATTAATACTAAAGGAATAGTGTATTTTTAACACTAGAGGTTCATTCGAAAATCAAAGTAAATATAATTGAAAATTTTTCAGAATTATAAACAATAACACTTTAAAAATATGTTCTTTTTTTAGGTTTATGATGATGGTAGATATGTTTACCTTGTTACGGATTTGATGAAAGGAGGAGAGCTACTTGACCGTATTCTCAAACAAAAATGTTTTTCAGAACGGGAAGCTAGGGATGTACTGTTTATAATAACTAAGACAGTTGACTATCTTCATTGTCAAGGAGTAAGTTGTACTTATATTCTTCCTTTTAATTCTGGGACTTATATCTTCACAAAATTATACATAGAAGATGATACCTAAAATGAATTACTTTTTCTATCACATATTTTTGTATGGAATAGCCTAATAAACTTCATTATGTAGTGAAGGTTATAAGTTTAGGAAATTAGGTAATATCTTATTATAAATTTTCTTCTCTCTACCTGTTAGCACCAATTTAATAGCATATTATTTTTAAAGTGGTTTGAATTATATAAATATCTATCCTTGACTTTTAATTCACTAAGCCTCATCTGACTTGAAAGTTAAACACAGACAAATTATCAAATTATAATATGGCTAGAGATAAAGTTCTGGGAGAACTGTTTATTTTGATTGTTAGCAACCCCTCCCCCAATACAGTAAGAAATTTTGATTCTAAACACTTGAAGTATTAATACATTAGAATTTCCATTGGAAGTGCAGGTCTGTTATTTTGTTTCCTATATCTTCATAGAACAAATTGATTGGATTACCAAAAAAAGGTCACTTCTATTATATATATAGCTACCCAAGGAAACAAAGTCACAAAGAATTTAAAATTTTAAGTTTGAATCCATTGTAGTAGTGGACGCATACCCACTTAAGTATAAACTAAAAAAAATGTGCAACTCAGAATTGGCTTAGTGAAAATTCTACATGGGCCAGTATTCATTTTTCGCTATGGTTTTATAGAGTACATTTTCAACACTTTGAAATATAAATTGTATAATACTAAAGCAGTAGTTCTGTAATAATTTAATTATTTGATTGTCTTTATCAACATTCTCTAAAATAAAGGATGACCATAATTTTTGAGAAGAAAATTATAAACATCTTTTATTTTAGAAATAAATTAATGCATCAATTAAATAAATTGACAGACATTTATTGAGCATTTCTACATGCCAGACAATGCAAAAGGTGTTGCAGATTCAACTATGAGTTTAAGTCTTGATCCTTGTCTCAAAAGAGTTTTTAATGTAGTAAATAGCTGATTATTCTGTGGGAGAAGGTGACGGTGGGGTGTTTTGAGAGAACAGCATCGAAACATGTATATTATCAAGGGTGAAACAGATCACCAGCCCAGGTTGGATGCATGAGACAAATGCTCGGGGCTGGTGCACTGGGAAGACCCAGAGGGATGGAGTGGGGAGGGAGGTGGGAGGGGGATCGGGATGGGGAATACATGTAAATCCATGGCTGATTCATGTCAATGTATGGCAAAAACCACTACAATATTGTAAAGTAGTTAGCCTCCAACCAATAAAAATAAATGGAAAAAAATAGCTGATTAAATATAGGATTAAATTAAATGAAGTGGATAGTATCAGTAGAAAAATCACCACATAAAGAATTTGGGAATATGTTATTTATGTGTGTCTAGCATTTTATTTAGTTCTTATTGTTTCTATTTTTCTGCTCACTTTTCATGCATTGAAAGCATGTTTTGTTTTACTTTATTGAAGATAGTTTTAATAGTGACTTTATTTTTTAAATTTCTTTAGTATTTAGTCTTCTCAATTTTGAACAGTACATTTTGTTGAGCTATAACTGACATATAACACTGTGTAAGTTTAAGGTATACATATTGATTTGAGACATGTATATACTACAATATGATTACCATCATAGCATTAGCTAGCATTCTATCATATCACATATAATAATAGCCACTTTAAGACACTTGCTGTTAAGCCTAACATGGTTTATCTTGGAGTTGGAATAGATGTTCTTTTTTCTTGAAACTGTGTCCTTTTTTTTTTAGGAGAGTGTTCTTCATATATCAGAAAATTTTGGATTGTGTACTGCACACTTGAGTATTAACTTGTGGAGATTTGTTATATTGTGTTATTTTTTTCTCCAATGATTATTTTAGTTTTCTTTTGTTTTCAGTGGGTAATTTTCTTAGGGTTTGCACTGAAAGCTCTGCTTTTTCAGCAGCAGCTGTGGTTTCTGTTTATATCTTTTGTCATTTGAGCTCCCTTTACACATTTTTGATTCAAGGGTCCGTTTTGGCTCTTTCCCTTACTGTATTCCTCCACTCAGCATTCACAGTTTCTCAGTATTTCTTTTCTGGTGCTCCAGGCCAGAAAGATCGTGGGCTTTTCTGCATCCCTTAACTACCACTGAGTGCCATAGGAACTGTACTTAGCTTTCTGCTAAAAGCCACATATATGGGAACCTACTCATGCAACTCCCTCCTTCAGCCAAGTATGTACTCCCCACCAGAATCTTATCTCCTTTTGCTCATTCTCCAATATCTTCAAGGTAGTTTTTTTTTCTTCTTTTAACTCAGGTTTCATATTTGGTTACCATAGTGAGGAAGTTTGAATAGGGTCTTAGTTCATTATGTCTACAAGTGGAATTGAGAATTCAGCTTTGAGATTGGAAATGATTAAAAAAAAACTGGTGGCCTGATAAAAACTGGCACATCTATCTAATAGGGATAATTCACCTATATACTTCAGGTTGTCAAGGCTATCAAGGTTGGAGAAAGTGTCATTTTCAAAATTTCATGAATGAAATGGTTCCTTTTACTGGAAATATATTAACTTATAATAGATAGTTAGCTATAGAAATGTCATCCTTTTTGTTTTTTAATGCTCAAGGTTGTTCATCGTGATCTTAAACCTAGTAATATTTTATACATGGATGAATCAGCCAATGCAGACTCCATTAGGATCTGTGATTTTGGGTTTGCAAAACAACTTCGAGGAGAAAATGGACTTCTCTTAACTCCATGCTACACTGCAAACTTTGTAGCACCTGAGGTATTCTTTAAAACTTCAATATTTGCCTTTAATTCTTTTCCTTTAGTTGACTGTATTTGATGTCTTATATGTCAGCTTTATGTTAGGTAGTAAAAGCCAAGTGATCTTGCCCTTTGTGTTAGTCTCTCAATCGTGTCCAACTCTGCGACCCCATGTACTGTAGCCTGCTAGGCTCCTCTGTCCATGGAATTCTGCAGGCAGGAATACTGGAGTGGGTTGCCATTTCCTCCTCAAGGGGATCTTCCCAACCCAGGTATATAACCCAAGTCTCCTGCATTGCAGGCAGCTTCTTTATTGTCTGAGCCACCAGGAAGCCCTTTCCCAACTATAAAGCTCTTTAAATCATTGAATTCTGATAATGCCCAATATAAATAGACTAATAACTAGCATCTGCAACCAACCTGAATATAATAATCACATTGTTCTATTCTTTTGGGTTTTATAGTGGTTTCAGAATCATACCATTTTAGAACTGGCCAGAGAGTAGAGGTAACTCTACCTTCAACATATTAAATATTCAAGACCCAGCATTCACAAAGTCAGGATAGGTTTTCAGATATTTTGGTTTGTGCAGAACATGAGGTGATTTATATTGTTTAGCATTATACATAACATAGGCAATGCCATCCCTGATTGTCTGTAAGATCTTCTAATTCGTGAAGAAAACAGCTTTACAGGGATTTTTATAAACAGTGAGGTTTTTCTTGGCAGATGACATTCATATGTAGATCTTAAAGAGTAGAGTCCAGAAAGATGATGCTGAGGAAGTCAAGGGGTTCATGTTTAACATTTGGCAAGCTCCAGCAGTCTTGTCAGTTCTGGTAATGGGGATGGAAGCTTTGATGGTAACAGTTCCCACAGCAGTAAAAGTTATGACCGACTAAAAAATGAATCAGGGATGGCTTTGATTATATAGATTCTTTATAAGTTTTGTTCGTAAAAGTCAATAATTATTCTTAAATGTTACAAATAATGCTCACTCGTGAATTATCATATGTTTAACATAAATCCAAGTACACAGATATCCTCAGATTTGAAAAATAGAATTTTTCAAGTCAGAGGAAGAATAAAATCATTTGAGAATGAATTCTTACCTCATGTGCATATTTTTATATTTTGTACACTAAATACTATCTCTTCTGGAAAATATTTCACATCAGATATAAAATATTTTAATATTTTTTATATTTCTATAAAAATATAAACATATTTCTTATATTTAAATATCATTAAGTCTGTATTTAATATAACTATTAGAAAAATAATATTTCTAGTGATGAAAATAAAAATGTAGAAAGTGGGAAATTAACTTTCTAATAATGAGAAACCCCCATGTTAAAATTTATTTAATCTTCCTTTAAGATGTTAATGTTGAGGAAGAAACATAACACCTGCTTTATAGGGTTTTTATGATAAGAATTGCACTATAAGAAATTATGTATATATCCAGAGGATGTGCTTTAATCTACATTTTAACTGTATTCATAGACGGTTGAGATGCATGCATGATCCAAGAAGGGGTTATTGTATGGTTGTCAAGTATAAGGGATATAACTTAGACATAAAAAAATAGCTTTTCTAGGACATTTTAATATTTTTATAGAATAGAAATATTGGGTATTTAGGATAAGGCTCTTGTATAAAATATAGAGTATATAGTCATAAATGTTCTAGTATATTTATGCAGTAGACTTAACAGAAGAGTATAGAGTAACCATTTTAATAGCTGATTTTTTTAATATTCACTTAACCTTGTGGACCTAGTTTCCTTTGTATAATGGGTACTTTTCCCTGGAAAAGGTTAAGAGTGAATGTGTCCCAAATAAAGATCTTAAAAACAGACAGTAAAATGAAAAATATACATGTCTATATTTAGATTAATGGTTAGGTAAACATTTTCAAGTGAGTGCAAGTCTGCAGAGTAGGATATAGCTCACTGATGCTTTTTATCCTAATAGACTTCCACTGTAGTTAGATGCTTTCAGCATTGTAATAGTGAAGGTTTTCAGGTAGGCAAGTAGAGACCACTTCTCTATAACTAATGCCTCTAATGTCTGAACTTCCTTTGGCTAGGATAGTATTTGTATTTTCAAAATGCTTTGAAAAGTTTTATTATCAAGTGCTGAGGTCTCTGCCAGCAATGAATGCATATTTATTAATGGTTATAAATAAAAAGAGATTTGGCATAAATTTTGTTTCTTAAATTTCAGACTCATAAAAAGTTATTAGTGAATGGTATGAAATGTGTTATCTTTTATTTTTATTTATTTATTTTTAAATGTGTTATCTTTTAAACTAGAATCAGAAAGATTCAACTGTCCGTGTAGATATTTGAATAAATAATAGCATTTGTGCATGCACTCAGTCATGTCCAACTCCTTGCGACCCCATGGACTGTAGCCAGACAGGCTCCATGGGATTTCCCATACAAGAATACTGGGGTGAGTTACCATTTTATCCTCCAGGGGATCTTCCTGACTCAGGGATTGAAGTCTCCTGGGCCTTCTGCATTGACAGGTGGATTCTTTACTACTGATCCATGTGGGAAGCTCAATAATAGCATTTATGAGAATATAAATCATTCTTTCATCACAGTGCACAAAAAGCCCTTACTTGCTAGGAGAGAAACAAATTAGTAGTATGATTTCAGCTTAACAATAAGTAAGGAATANTGTGCACTGGATCATCTCGGAACCTTTAAAAATACTGTCCTAAGGGAACCAGAGAAAACATGGTGATGTCCAGGACTGCGAGAAGTCATGAGAAGAGGAAAGATAGAAGGGGAATAAAGCGAGAGAGGTTTATGTTTTACTAGAGGATGCCAGGTTAGGCTTATCTTGATGTGAATTGTTCTAGCTCTACCTTATTATTTGTTAGGGCCTTTGTAGTCTCCACTTGTGTTATTTATATTAGCCAGTTATATAGGTATTTTGATAAACTCTTCAGCTTCCTAAGTTTGCATGTATGTGTGTTCTTATATACTTTGACTATGGAAAAAACCATTATACCTTGAATTTTAAGGTAGATATTTATTATTCATGTTTGGCCATTGTCATAGCCAAGTGTTAATATTTTGAGACTTTTATAAATGAAATGTCCATTCTGGTGATTATGCAGTCCCCAGTATTAATGGATTAATAAAGTTTCTATTTTGTTTCTATGTACAAAGGCTGTATCAATGGATTTATTTTTCTAAATTTAATAAAAAGGGCTCATTTCACCTCAGAATAGCTATTAAATTCACAGGGAAAATTCACATGAATATGTAATGAATATGTTATTTATTTAAGATTTATTTAACGCTAGCCTCAAGAGAAAAAAGAGCTACCTAAATTATTATATAAAAAATTAATGAAACCATTCAGAATTTACCAAATGTGTGTTTCTGATCCAGAAATATACTAATTTTTAAAGACATGAGTCTTTTTTGTAAAATATAAATTCATCTTGCTTTCATAAGATTATATACGATCTTACCATCTCCTGTGCAGTAGAGAAGCAATTATCATAGATGTTAAAGGCACAGGCTCTAGAGTAAGCGCTCTACCACTCATTAGGTTTGTGATATCGGGCAAATTACTTAACATTTTCCCCAGTTTTCTCATCTTCAAAATGGAAATAATATCTATCTCATAGAGTCAGTGTCAGGGTTAAAATTCAACATTCTATGTAGAGTATATGAAACTCTCTGTACATGTTGTTTTAAATTTTGACGTGTCTGACTTTCCTAAGAGATGGAGTGAAGGTTCATTGAGATCAGGGATCATATCTTAAAAAAGGATTTTTTTTGTCATTCATATTGCTTAATTACCTTATTAATAGTCACTTATTGAATGTTTGTTAATTGCAGAAAACTTTGCCTTTAAGTTAATTTTGAAAAGATAAAAATGAGCTAAGTTAAAAAAAATAAATAAAATGAGCTAAGTTATTAAATTGTGAGCATTTGTGAGATTATTAGAAACACAGTTTTTTTTTAGATGACAAAACTGAGTTATACTGAGTAGTACCAGATAATGAGTATTTCCTTTCTCAGGTTCTTATGCAACAAGGCTATGATGCTGCTTGTGATATTTGGAGTCTGGGAGTCCTTTTTTATACAATGTTGGCTGGGTAAGGAATTTATATATTCAAATTAATTCACATTATTATTTCAATTTCACTTGTATATTTTCATCTAGAAAGAGGACAGATGAAAATTACCTTAAGGAAAATGCTATCAACATTCTAAAATATTATATATTGAATACTTATAAAATTTAAAAAAACATATGGTGTTTAATGAGGCATTATTTAGGCACATAGTTAAAAGATTGTTCAACTAGGACTAAAACTTCTAAAAATAAAGCATATTCTTATTTTGATATTTTAAGTTTAAGTGTTTTACATTTTCAAAATGTTTACCTTAGCATAAAATCATTTCCCAATTCAAGAGGTGCTTACCTACTAAACTTGCTGATGTTATTTTTTTTAAGTACTTGAATTTTGGTTCTCTTGGCAATAGAGATTCAGTGTGATTGAGCTTTATAACAAAGCTGCATAAAATAGTAGCAATATTAAAATACAGAAACACATGCAGATGTGTTAAAAGAATAAAGAAATAGTAAAAAATGTAGCCGTTGGATTATGTTGAAGACTGTTAGTTTATAAATAACACAAGTGCTATTTTACTCTTAATAATAAGTAGCACTTTTATTTAGAAGTAAAAATTTATAACTGTAGATAAAGGCTAGGTTTAGCAAAGTCTAATGCATAAAATAGAATTTGAAGAATTTAACGTAATCATAATGTCCTTAGGTATGACTTTTTTAAAAAGGCTGTGCTGATGTGCTCAGTTGTGGCTGACTCTTTGCGACCCCTTGGACTTTAGCCCACCAGGTTCCTTGGTCCATGGAGTTTTGCAGGCAAGAATACTGGAGTGGGTTGCCATTTCCTTCTCCAGCTTTTAAAAAAGGCATTTAGTATAATTAAATATAAAGATTGAGGGCAGGAGGAGAAGGGGATGACAAAGGATGTGATGGTTGGATGGCATCACCGACTCGATGGACATGAATTTGGGTAAACTCCAGGAGCTGGTGATGGCCAGGGAGGCCTGGTGTGCTGTGGTCCATGGGGTTGCAAAGAGTCAGACACACTGGGTGACTGAACTGAACTGAACTGATAATTAAATATGCTTGCCATAGCAGGAGATTTATAAAGATAAGTTATGAAAATAGTGACTCCAAGTTATTTATTGGCTTGATCATAATCACATATGTCAGTATATTCCACGTATGTGCAAAATATTTAGTCACAGACCACAGCAAGTGCTAAAGTTAAGAGTAGCTAATGTTTGCATGTGAACAGCAGTCAGCAGTATTGGTTTCAAACCATTGGATACCATTTCCAGATAGCTACTTTCAAATCTTTACTTTATGACTAAACAAAGCATTTTGTGTGGGTGTGCATAGGTATGTGTTTAGTGTTATCTCAACTATGAGGGAATTAACATATTAAGTCATCTTTCTCATATTTTTTAGCCATGAATCTTTCTATTCCCAAATCTGAATACCATTTTTAAAATGGTACCATTTGTTAAAATGATACAAAAGTGACCACTTTTTGTCATTCTATAATAATTTTCTAAACCACTTTAACTTCATACAATGTATTTGTTTTCCTATCTATGACTGTTGATCCATGTAATAATTTTAATGGCTATAAAGGATTTTTGTTATATTGATATATTTAACCAATTTTTCATAGATATTAATTAAAAATACTGTTACTTTGTTTTCACTGATAATGATAAATTTGAGCTAATTCAATAAATATGTAAAATTACTTTCTTCATAGTAGGTATATTTGGTTTCCTAACTTATGCCTGTGAATACAAAATTTGTGTTGATTTTCAGAATGCATTTACATATAACTACCTTTATTTTATTTTACATTGATTCACAGATCATAGGTAAAAAAAATAGATTGATGTAGGCAAGACTCTTCATTTCATTATATAATTCATTAAGTTCATTGTTTGAAATGTAAAATTTTATATGAACAGTAAAGGGAAATTTTAGGTGATATTCTTAATTTGCTATAGTAAATATATGCTTGTAGTTCTATACTCATCACTTTCAATTAGATTTAATATGTATGTTAGGCCCTCATGTGTATTTAAATCTTTTTTATTAATAGCTACACTCCCTTTGCTAATGGGCCCAATGATACTCCTGAAGAGATATTGCTGCGTATAGGTAATGGAAAGTTCTCTTTGAGTGGTGGAAACTGGGACAGTATTTCAGATGGAGCAAAGGTATAAATTATAAATATGTTTTGTTTTATTGAATTGTTAATTGCCAAAATCTTTTAAGGTTATAGTCTAGTCTGCATTTGCAGAGTATCAGATGGTGTTTAATGTCAGTATTTGTTTTTAAATCACGATATTTATTTTTAAATCAACTCACATATATGTGTGAATTGAAGAAGACAATAAAGGCTGACTTTTTTGCCATGCTTCTGGGATACATTTCTCTCTTATCAATTCATATGTGATCAGGAAATATAAACCAGTTTCAGTGTTAACCAAAAGCAAAAATGTAAATCTACTGAGGAAAAATACATAAAGCCAACTAAATTTGATTTCTGCATTTAGTGTGTTTTTACACATCATATCTTCTTTAGCACAGACATTGACTACTCATTATATAGGCGATTTTTTTAATGTTAACTTATTCTTAGAACATATACAAACTTTTTTTATCAATTGCACCTAGATATTTGCAATGGATGGCTAAAAACTGTTCAGTAGAAGTGTAGTGCAAGCCACATATGTAATTTTAAAATTTCTAGTAGTCATGTTAAAAAGCAAAAAGCAGCAGATGAAATTAATGTTAATAATATATTTTATCTAATGTGATATATCCAAAATATTTCATTTCAAAATTTCAAAAATTAGTGAGATTTTGAATTCTATTTTTGTACTTCATTTTCAAATTCTGGTGTGTATTTTATACTTATAGCCCATCTGAATTTGGACTTACCTACATTTTAAAAGTGCTTAATAGCCATATGTACCTAGTGGCTACTGTTATTAGTAAAGTTTCAGAGTAACTGGCCTTATAATTTAGGGAAAAAGTAATAGATCATGGCTTGCTTACTAATTCTAACATTTGTATCTAAAATTTTTAAGTTTCAAAACAAAACCCCAAAGTTATCAGGATGTGTTTTATTGGGCCCTGACACTTTTAAGCTGCATTTTGAATTAGAAAACATTTTAAGACAGAAGGATTTGCTTGTATTTAATATCTGCTAATAATAAAACCTAATTATTTAAGGACATTAGTTAATCTGTAGAATATATTATGGATTAAATCTTGTATCCTGATTATTGTAGAATAAGTAAATCAGGGATTTGGTTATTGTTACCTTTTAAACATTAGAAAAACAGAAATGGGATTGTGTTCACATCTTAGCCATAACATACATGTACCATGTGCTATAGTAAAAGGAACACCTGATTGGAAGCCAAGAAAGCTGAACGCTAGTTTTGATCTACTAACTAGCTTCCTCATTTTTGTCATCTGCAAAATTTGGGAATTAAGTTCTCCCTTTGGTTCCTTTCAACTGCAAAATTTCATTTGTCAGGTTTTCATTTATAAAGTGATTGAATCTACTAACTATTCATTAAATACATGTATTTTCTAGTCAGCCAGTTTGTGCGTCAGAAAGTACATTTTCCCAAGGAACAATTTGAATGTTTAAAGCTATACACATGAACCTCTTGTGCTCTTTAAAAAACAAACAAACAACAACAACAACAAACTAGGTTGGAACTTCCCTGGTGTCCAGTGGTTAAGACTCTGCACTTTCACTGCAGGGGGAGTAGGTTCCATCCCTAGTTGGGAAACAAATCCCACATGCCACACAGTATGGCCAAAAAATGAAAAACAAAAAAACTAAAAACAGTAATGCTAATGTTGTACTTAGATTTTGGCTTTTCTATGTTTTGTGTGCTTTATGTTTTCATCTGTCTAGTGCCTAAGGAATAATACATATTAAAATTCAATTTCATTCTCACCACTTTTAGTCAGATATTCTGGAGAAATTAACATAGAAAAAAATGTTGGGGGATATTGTCAAAATATTTCACAAGGTCTTTCATGTATTCCATTTTATGGATTAAATTGCTTTAGTTCTGTCTTTGGATTTTTTCTGAAAATGGTGGCATATTACTGAGCAAATAAGCTGTATGAACTTTAAAGAATCTGTACATTTTAACAATTCATTAATTTTCTTTTTTTGTAAACTTTTTATTTTGTATTGAAGTATAGCCAATTAGCAATGTTATAATAGTTTCAGGTGAACAGTGAAGGGATTCAGTCATACATATACATGTGTCCATTCTCTTGCAAACTCTCCTCCCATCCAGGATGCCATATGACATTGATCAGAGTTCCATGTGCTATATAGTGGGACCTTGTTGGTTATCCATTTTAAATATACTTTACCTAATACATTTTTTTATGTTTTAAATTAGTGATGAAGTTAAGCTATTGTTCAGTTACTCATCATGCCTTATACTGCTACCCTTAAGGTGGGAAAATTGTAACATTTACTGTTACCTCATGACAATTATTTTACTTAATTATAGTTCCTTGCAAGTTATTTTTCCCTTTCCAATGATTTTATTGACGTTGGTGAGTACCACTACCAGAAGCATATAAAAGATGATTCTGTTTGCCTCCCGTCCATGCATAGTTCCTAGACTTTGTTCATTGAGTTAAAGGAAAGTAGAAGTGGGGTG